GATCATGGCATAAGGATAGGAAACCCAAATAAAGCATGGTAGACCTGCTGAGTTGAAAAAACAGACCCCAGAATTAGGGAGGCCAATGCAGCTGGAGTGTGTGGTATAAGACACAGGACAAGAGTGAGTTATACAGAAAAAGCACTCCAGAAATCTATGAATGGGCCCCTTACGTTTTTGCTGAGTGCTAAGCTGTGTTTGCCATTGCACAAGGCCAAGCTCCGAGAGGCTGGCAGAGGCCTGCAGGCTGAGCACCTCCCAGAACACACAAGGACTGGCAGCAACAGCCAGAATGGAGACCTGCAGAACACTCAAGGCCCTCGGAACAAACCCCCGATGAAGAGAGGCTCAGCAGGAGGCTTACAGTGTCAAAAGAAACCAGCCAATCTGCAAGTAACTCAACTGTCTGCCAGAACAAACACGAGCGCCCTCTGAAGGAAGATAACAAACCCAGACATTCATCAGTGTAAACTACTAGACATGCAAAGAAGCAGGAAAATGTGATACAAAACCAAAAGAAGAAACAGCCAACAGAAGCAAACCTATGTAGCAGAGACATGCTGGAATTAGCAGGCAATAACTTTAAAACAGTTATAAATATGTTGAAGAATTTTAAATGAAAACAAATAAACACAATAAGCATAGAAATGGAAGATATATAAAAAGATCAAACAGAATCCTGGAGCTAAAAACTATAATATCAGAAATAAAAATTCACTGGAAGGGCTTAATAGCAGATTAGCAGAAGGAAAAACAGGGAACTTGAAAAATAGGAATAGAAACTATCCAACTGAAACACACTAGGAAAAAAGGCTAAAAGAAAAAAAATCCAATTTTTAAAATGGACAAAGTACTCAAATAGACATTTCTCCAAAGAAGGTGTACAAATGGCCAATAAGCACAGGAAAAGATGTTCGACATCACTCATCATTAGGGAACTGCAAAACAAAGCCACAAGAAGATGCTACCTTACACTCATTGGCATGGCTACTATCAGGAAAAAAACAGAAAACAACAAGTGTTGGCAAGGATGTGGAAAAATGGAAATGTTTGTGTACTGTTGGTGGGAGTGAAAAATGGTACAGCTGCTGTGCAAACAGCATGGAAGTTTCTTAAAAAATTAAAAATAGAATTACCATGTGATCCAGCAATTCCTTTGGGTACATACCCAAAGGAACTAAAGTCAGGGATACAAAGATATCCGCACATCCATGTTCATAGCAGCATTATTCACAATAGCCAAAAGGTAGAAGCAAACCAAGTGTATGTCGACAGATGGATGGCTAAACAAAATGTGTGAGAGAGAGATATATATATATATATATATATATATATATATATATATATATATATATAATTCAGCCTTAAAGGGAAGGAAATTCTGACACAGGCTACAAGATGGATGAACTCTGAAGACATTAGGCTAGGTGAAATAAGTCAATTAGAAAACGTCAAATATTGTATGATTCCAATTACATGAGGTACCTAGAATAGTCAAATTCCCAGGGACAGAAAGCAGAACAGCGGTTGCCAGGAGTTAGGGGAGGGAGGGGTGGGGAGTAATTGTTGAATGGGTCCAGAGTGTCAGTTTTCCAAGATGAAAGGAGTTCTGCAGATGGATGGAGGTGACGGCCACACAACAGTGTGAGTGTGCTTCATGCCACTGAACTGGACACTTAAAAATGGTTACAGTGGTAAATTTTCTGTTATGTGTATTTTACCACAATTTTAAAAAAAAGAAAAAGATTAAAAATAATGAAGAGAGTCTCAGAAAACTATGGGACAATATTGAGTAATCTAATATTCTTGTCATCAGAGTCCTAAAAGAAGCGAGAAGGAAAAATAAAGACTTTTCAGATACATAGAAGCCGGGAAAATTCATCACTGGCAGACCCACACTGAAAAAACATGGTAAAAGAAGTCCTCCACACAAAGGAAAATGATACCTGATGAAAATATGAGATCAAAAGTGATAAATAGACAACATTTTTCTTATTATTTAAATGTCTTTAAAAGATAAGTGCCTGCTTAAACAAAAGTAAGGATAACGTATTGTGGGATTTATGGGATTTATGATATGGACGAATAAAATAAATGACAACAATGACAGAAAAGCTCAGAGGGAGAAACGGAGGTAAACTACTGCAAAGTTTTTATACGATATGTGAAGTGGTGTGTTATCGCTTGAAGGTAGACTATTACGAGTTAAAGATGTACACCATAAACCCTCAAGTCAGAAAACAAAGAAATATAGCTAATAAGCCAACAAAGGAGATAAAATGAAACCATAAAAAATACTCAAGTCAAAAAAGAAAAAGACAGGGAAAGAAGAAAAAGGGAACAAAGAACAGATGGGATAAATAGGATGCAATTAGCAAGATGACAAGTTTAAACCCGACCACGTCAACAATCACTTTGAACGTAAGTGGACTAAACACCTCAATTAAAAGGCAGAAATTGTCCAATTGAATAGCAAAGCAAGACCCAACTCCATGCAGCCTATAAGGACACTTGAAATATAAAAACACAAATAGGTGAAAAGTAAACGGCTGTAAAAAGATACACCACGCTAACGCTAATCAGAAGGCAGCCGCAGCAGCCGTGACGCCACCAGGCAAAGCGCAGTCCACCGCAGGAAAAGTCACAAACTGGACCTCACCAAAATTACGGATTGGCTGTTCAAAAGAGACTGTTAGGAGAATGAAAAGACAGCTCACAGCCTGGGAGAAAATATTTGCAAATCGTATTTCTGATAATGGACCTGCATCTGGAATATATAAAGAATCCTAAAAACTCAGTAGCAAGAAAACAAACCACCTGATTTTTAAGAATCAATTCTATTTTCATATACAACGAATAAACAATTAATGAATAAACAATTAAATGAAGTATAAACATATGATACCTTTACAATAACATAAGAATATTAAATATCTATGAATAAATCTAACAAAAAATGTCCAAGAACTCTACACAGAAAACAATAAAACTAATTAATAAAAAATTGTTTAATAAAAAGAATTATAGATAGAAATTTTTAAAAACTCAAAATGGAGAGCTATACCATGTCAGTTTCCCCCAAACTGGTCACAGATTTTATTATACCCTCAATCAAATCCCAGTGTATCATGTGCGTGTGGAAACTCACAAAATGAGTTGAAAACTTAAACAGAGATGCAAATTGTGAAGAATTGCAAAGTCACTTTTGGAAAATAAGTTGGAAGGACTTATGCTTCCAGATATGAAGACAACGGGGGGGCGGGGGGTAAAGAGCAAAAGACTTGAAATCCATACTGCCAATTATAAAAATGTGCTCAACCTCAACAGGAATTAGGAGAAAGCTAATGAAAACCATGCGATGCCACTACAAACCAACTAGAATAGGTAAATTTAAAAAGCAAAACGGACAATACTGTGTCAGTGAAGATGTGGCGCACAGGGAAGTAGTTACATTGCTATAGAGTGCAAAAAGGAACAAATAATGAAAAAATTGTGGGCACTGTCTACAAAGTTGAAGATACATTCTATGACCCAGCGATTTCACTCCTAGACACACGTACCCTAGAGAAGAGGGCACAGGTACACCAAGAAACATATACAGGAGTGTTCGTAGCAGCAAAAGTTGGAAACTGGTAACCACTCAAACTGCCATCAACAGCAGAGTCGCGGTGAGCCGCACGGTGGAAGACTACGCTGCAGCGAAAATGAGCAAAGTCCGGGTCACCGTGCCGGTACAGATGAATCTCACAAAAGAATACATACGGGATGAATCTATTTAAATAAAGGTTAAAAACAAACAAAACATATACTTGGGTAATAGAATGATAAAGAAAAGTAGGGAATTGATAAAGCCAGGATTTGGGGGTTACAGAGGGGTTCGGGAAGGGAAAGGGGGTGCTTCTGGAAAGCTAGTGCCATTCTATGCCCCTTGACCTAGGTAGAGTGGAAACACAGGTGTTTGAGTTAAATTTTACATTTATAATACATTGATATATACTTTCCATTTCAACTTTCCATTGCATACAATTTTTTTTTTTATTTTGAAACAAAAATATTGTAAGAAAACAAATAGGTGGTTGAGAAAAAAATCTAACTTCATTTATTATTTGGTTGCCTGGCTTCCCCAACATCATTTATTCAATCATCCGAACCATCCCCACCTATTTGTGATTCCAACGTAACAAGATATTCAATTCTCAGTGGCACTCGAGAGTTGGCAATGGTCGTTATCAACAATGGTTTTTGGCAAGGGTGGATCGACTCTTTCTGGGGGCTGGGGGATGGGAAAAGTGCGAGTGAAATAGAATAAGAGCAGGGGAGGAAGAGAGTCATCGTCACGGGATTTATTTTTAAATAGGAAAATTCTAGAGACAGAACTGAAAAGAGAAAGGAAGTCTGTGAGAGGACTGCCAAGTCAGGGAGTGAAGTGTCACCTGATAAAAGGACTTATGAATGAGCTCAACGCTAAACTATTTGTTGGGGGATGTAAAGAGGAGGCCCTGCCTGCAGGGTGGAGGTTGGCCATATGGGTGCCCGGCTCAAGGGTGCAGCCTCCATCCGCACCACGTAGGTGGTCAGATAACGTTTGCCGAATGTTCTCAAAGATATGACATAGTGCAATTTTTAAGCTATATTTGTGGGGGGGTTTTCCTTACTTTAATTGTAGTATTTATTGATTCGAGGAAATTACACAAAAATTCGTGCTGCCATACTTTGTCCAACCTTGACCGCGGGGCTCATTCTCTTCTCAGCGCACAAAGAAGGGCTGGCGCGGTACCTGCCTTCTCCGCCCCCCGGAGCGGCCCCGGCGACTCGAGGGCGGCCGCTGACCCGCGGGGTGGGCACGGACCAGCCTCGTCGCGGAGGCGCGGAGCCCGCACGCAGTCCTGCGGACTGGGGCTCCCTCGGCTGGGGGCGGGACAGAGAGGTGCGGGGGGCGGCCCGAGGCACCTGGCCCCGCCCCCGGGGCCCCGCCCCGCCCCGCCCCGCCCGCGCCGAGCTCCCACAGTCGGAGCCCGAGCCGCGCCGCGGAGGTCCGACCCGCGCGCGGCGGCCGGAGATGCAGCGGGGCGCGGCGCTGTGCCTGCGCCTGTGGCTCTGCCTCGGACTGCTCGACGGCGAGCGAGGTGAGCCCGCCGCCCGCCGAGGCGGAGCTGGCCGCGAGGGGGCACGCACTCCCGGGGCGAGTGGTGGGACCGCGCCGACTGGGGATGGGCGGGGTACAGGGCCCCCGGGAGCGTGGGGCATCAGGGGAGGCAGGACCGGGTGCCACGGGTACGGACACCGGGCTGGGCACGGCAGGTCGGGCCCGGGCCCGCGGGGATGAGTCCAGGGCGGCGGGGACTGCAGCCAGGTCGGGGACGGGGCGACGGGGCTGCACCGCAGCGCAGGGACAGTGCTCGGGGTCCACGACCTCGCCACCTCTGTGGCTCAGCTCCCTTGGAGCCAGGCCTGGCGCGCGGCATCGTCAGCCTGGATCCTCGGCTTCCGCACTCGCTTCCCCGCGGAATCCCGGCGCCGCGCGCACCGGAGATGTCCCGGGCGCCGAGGCGGCAAACCCCGCAGGGCCCAGACCTGGTGCGCACTTCCCGAGGCCTCCCGTCTGCGCTCGAGGTCGGTCCCCCAGAGGGCGCTCCGGGCGGGCGTCCACCCGCCCCAGGCCAGGGACTGAGGAGGCAGGGGCTGGGGGACCGCGGGAGACGTTGGGCAGATTGGGCGCAGGTGCGTGTTGGAACTTGAGGCGAATCTTGAGCCGGCAACTCGTGAGTGATCAACGTGGCAAAAGAGGCAGAAGGCTGGCGCTCCCCGTAGTTGAGGGGGCAGGGGCCTTGAAAGCCGAGCTGAGGAGCCTAGACCATAAGGCAGGGGCTGCCACAGAGAGTCTTAAGCACAGGAGAGGCAGGGTCCAGTTTTTGATGGGCATGTGCCTGGACGTTGCCGCTGCTTTGGAGTTGGAGAGAAGAGAAGAGAATGTGGGAGATGAGGGAGGGAGCAGAGGGGTATGGTTGGATGGAGACGTCACGGATAAAGCATCTGGGGTTGGGTGAGGATGAGCTGGAAGTCCACGCAAGATCTGGCGATCCTGGAAAAATCAGAGGGTGGAGGGAGGGTCATGGGTCCCCAGTGGCTGAGGAGGAGTGCTGGGAGACACTGTGTGCATTCAGTGTTGGTTTACATGCTTCATCTCTTAATCCTCACAGTGGAGTGTTAGACCCATTTTACAGGTGAGGAAGCTCAGGCCAAGGACATAAGTAACTTCCCCAATGTCCCCAGGAGGCCAATAGTGAGGGAAGTGGTCAACCCAAGGTCTTTGGGATAACAGAACCCTGTTCTCTGTGCCTTGACGGGCTGAAGGGCTGAGGACAGGGGAGGTGAGAGAGGTGCAGATGGACCTAAGGGAAAGAGGGAGGAGGACATCTGTCGGGGCCTCCAAGTCGGGGCAGGTCTGAGCAACGGGACTGCGCCTTGGCCCTTCCTTGCTCCCTTGCACTCAGCCCAGGGCCAGGCTTTCACGGGTGCAGTATGTGTTTGTTAAGTGACTAAATGAGCGTGGGGAGAGAAGGGAATGGGGCCCTGGTTGGAGGAGACATCCAGCAGGCAGTTGGGTGTCATGTCTGAGGCTCAAGAGGGGGGTTGGGCTGGGAAGCTGGAGAGGGAGCAGAGCAAAAGGTCCAGGAGGGAACCCCCCACCCAGGGAGCGGGCTAGAGAAGGAGAGGCTTCCAGGGAGATGGGGAACATTTTGCAGGATGTAAGGAGAACCAGGAGGGGCTGGTGTCCTGGTGCTCCCAGATGGAGCGTAGTGCGAGGTAGAGGAGGAAAGGGGGCTGTGGCCAGGCTTCTGGTGAGTGCGGGTGATTCTTATCAAAGTCGAGCAGTGAAGGGGAAGAGAGAGGATGTTAGCTGAGGGGGCCTGTGGAGGGGGTGGCCCAGGCTGGACCAGGGCATGGCTGATGGCAGATGCCTAAAAGAAGACTATGGCCACCCTCTCTGAGCCGTGCATTTGCCCCACCCACTGCTGGGCTGAGGAGGACGAGAGAAGCCCCAGCCTGATGGGGGATGCTGGCGCAGGAGCATAAACACTTCAGTGCAGTCAGGTGTCAGCGCAGCCAGGGTGGGAGGCCAGGCACTGGCAGGAGAGAAGCCTGGGGCCCTGAAGGCGTGCTGTCTATGCTGGAGCCAGACTCTTGTCCCAGTTCTACCCAGCCCCTCTCTTCCTCTCCCTGCACCTCAGTTTTCCCTTGTGTAGCAGTGCAACAGGCTGGCAAGCACTGAGGGGCTGTGCTTGCCTGGACTTCACGGCTCCATGTCCAAGTCCACTTCCAAAAACCTTGCCCTGGCAGTGTCCCTGTAGAGGGCAGGTGGCAGAGGTCAGCCGCAAGAGATTCAGGGACATGCAGGGGAAGAAGGTGACTGCTGGGTAGGTGGGTTGGCCTGGCCTGAGGACGCTGGCCCCTGCCATGGGCTGAGTCATACATGGCCATCCCAGCTCTCCCCGGTCCCCGCTTCTCACCCCGAGCCAGACCCAGGTGTGGACAGAGGTGTAGAGGTAGGGCAGGGATGTAAGCCAGTATAGGCAGGGTGTTGTAAGGTGGGGGTTGGGCCCACCTTACTTGGTGCCTGTAGACCACTGGCCCAGCTCAGGGCCCTAGGGACTCAAATGCAGGTGCTGTTCACGCACCCACCATGCCAGAGGCACGGAGTCACTGTGACTGAAGGTCTCTCTGCCTCCCCAGGGCCCAGTGCCCACACCACCAGGTGCCGGACTGGGCAAGAGGTGTAACAACGGGACTGTCTAGCCAACTCCCTGCTGTGCCATCCCCACCCTCACCCCCAAGCAGTGGCACCCTGACCCAGGGAAGGGGACCGCAGTCCTGTGCAAGTCACAAGCTATGATGCCTGCTCAGGGCGGCTCAGGGGGCATTTGGGCCCCATCCTGCAGGGGCTTCCTAAGTGCCAAGCTAGCAGGGACACAGACATGGCATCGGACATCTGTGGCCCAGGGATGAAAGTCCTCAGTGACTCCAGTGAGGCCCAGCTGGTGGCTGCAGGCTGCACAGGAAGGTAGTGTTGCTTCCAGCTCGGGGCTTCCTGGAGGGGTCTGTGGACTGCAGGGAAGGGAATTCAAGGTAAGGCAAAGAGCCTCTCGAAGGCCCGGAGGCAGGAGAGTTCAGAAGGTGTGAGGGACATGTGGGTGGTCAGATGAGGCTAGAATCTGGGGGGAGATGAGGCAGGTAGAGGTGGCAGGAGCCAGCAGCACACCCGATTCTGAGCAGGGAACCGCCTGGTCAGGTCCCCTGAAGGCATTGCCAGAGGGGCAAGACCAGATGGGAGCCTGCAGCAGGGAGGCTGTGGGTGAAGCCAGGAGACACGCCAGCGGAGGACGCGGCGGTGCCCGGGGATGGCAGGGAGACGGGCTAGTGCCTGTCTCTGGCTTAAGCAACGACTGGATGATGAGATATTGTTTACCAGATGGCACCCTGGGAGGAGGGGCAGACGTGGGGAAGGCTGAGGTGCTGCGCTGGGGAGGCAGCCCTTCCAGGTGGGGTGTCCCGTGGGATTGCCTGGGAGGCCCTGGTTGGTGAAATGAGGCCAAAAAAGGAAGGAGGAAAGTTGGGAGCATTTGAGTGAGATGGGGTGGAGGGCAGTCAGGGAACCCAGGGAAATTGAGTGGAGTCTTAGACGTAAGGGAAAGTTCTTCTCTACATCTAGCTTACATCTCTCCTGCTGTCGTTTGGACGTTTTCCTTCACGTGGCAGATTTCTCTCCGCCAGGGCCTAGCCTGTACCCCACAGCCTCTGAGATGCCCCTCAGAGAGGGGGTGGGCAGGGAGAGAGGGCCAGAGAGCCTCTCACACTCCCTGCACTGACCTCTGAGTGAGACACGGCCGACGTGTCCAGCTGGAGCCAGGGATTCCTGAGTTTCGATGCTTTTCAGACACTGGCTTCCTCTGGGATCTCAGTTTTCCGGTCGTTCTGAAGGGAGAAGTCTGGGAGCAGGAAGGTGCGGGCATTCACTGCTAGCGGCTAGGCTGGGGGGCAGACAGCGGGCACGCCCCCACCTGGCTCCCGCGCCCCAGGCTACCCCCACCCCCAGGTCAGGCTGGGGTGTGGGTGGTCCCACGGGCAGGCCGGTCAGGGTGGCGAGCGGGGGAGCCCCGCCACGTGGCCAGCGAGGTCAGCAGGGGTTCATGGGAAAGGACTTGTCGGCCACAGGAGAGGACATCCTGCCTGCATTTCCCTCTTCCTGCGGCAGGAGCCCACAGCCCAGATTTAGCAGCGCTGGGGGCCACCTCTGAGCCAGCTGGGCCGTCTGATAACACCGCCTGTCCTCCTGCCGCGGAGCAGAGCCCTGACCCAAGGCAGGCCAGGGCAGCTGCCTGGCACAGCTGGCTGCACCTAAAGCTGCACTATGCTCAGAGCTCAGCATCTGCCAGGGTGCCCCCGCCTTTTCCCGGGGGTAATTAGGCAGCCCTGGTTCCCATGCAGCCTCACCACTGCTCCCTGCTTCCAGAAATTGCCTCCTTGCTACCCCAGCAGGGCCCCTCTAAAACACAGATGTGAGCCTTCAGCAGCCCCTCAGTGATAAGCACCGGCTTCTAGGGCTGGCGGTACTTGCTCTTCCTGCTGGGGGCCCAAGGGCATCCTTAGCCCCATGTCCACCTAGCCTGCACCCACCACACACCCCAGCCTCAGTGCATGACCTTCCTCCTGCTCCACATACGCTCTGCCCTTCACCCTGCCCTTGGGGAGGCTGCCAAGAACTGTCGGCAGAGGGTGGTGCTGCTCCAAGTGGGAGGGGTCTCCTAGGGTGGGAGGGGCCTCTTACCCCCTGCTGTGTCCCCAGGAGCGGAGGTCCAGGCTTTCATGGGGCTTGGGGGAAGCTCTTACCAGCACCCAACCTAAAGCACCATCCTCAAAGCTACCCTGAATTCTGCCAAATGGAAACTCGTTTGTATTAAGCAGCGTGCGTGCACACACACACACACACACACACTTGGCACATGGGGAGCATCTCGCAGGAGCCACACCTCGATGTGAAATGCTTAATCAAACTGCTTCACACTAGGGTGCATGAAGGCTTCACCCTGTGTCATCAGCCTGTTGTGCCCGTTCTGGAGATTAGGAA